CTGCATCTACAGGCCAACTTCCGCCATGTGCGGCGAAGAATAAAAGGTCAGTTTGCGTGGCATTCACTGATTGTGGCGAGAACAAAATGCAGATTTTTGTGGCTCTGGCCACATGAGTGCTTCCGCAATCCCAGACAACGGTGTTTCTGGATTTTGTGTCTTGCATCCCAATTTTAGTGCTTGGTCTGCCTCTCGCTTCAAGTATTCGGTGGCACGCCTTCCCTATTGGATAAAACCGAGAAAATGGTTTCTTCTGACGCTAGTGTCAATTCGCCTGGAGGTCTGTCTCTGTCCTGCTTTGTGTCCACTGGCAAGGCAGTATCGCAAGCGCCTTCCCTTTCTAATTATTCAAAACAAACTGCTACCTAGTAGGCAGCATGATCTGGTTGCCAGATCATGCGGCATACTAGGCAGCAGTTTGTTATGCAAATATTTGAAAGACAAAGCTATTGTTCGGGCGCGCGCACACACACATCATCCACAGCAAAAAGGAGGAAGACGCGGCCTGCAGGAACCATGGTTAAAGTACATGGTACTGGCCCGTCTAGAACAAACTGCACCGTCTTCCACACGCCACAGGATAGGCCGCATTTCCACCGACATTCCTGAACGCACCACTGAAAAGCTTATTTCTTGCTGCAAAATCCGTTCCAAGTAGTCCAAATTTGGGTGAAAAATTCGGCGAAGGATGCCTATCTTTGCGCCTCGGTCTACTTGGCAATCCCTGAAAATTGACAGCAATGAAATAGCTTATATTTTGACAGTCTAACGCGAAAAAGTACACAAAGTAATCGGCTCTTAACAGACTGTGTTCTTGCTGTCTCCGGTTAAGCATGCGCACCAAACAAAGAAGCAACCGTTGTTGTTGGCACTCCTGTGCTCTCGCTGATCCGAAGGACCTTGTAGTTTTCTGCAGAGACCGCATGCATAATGTAAAAGCGGGGTTCCTAGGCCCTGTCCTGCCTGATATAACAACAGGGATTCAGCAATAAGGGACCCGCCACAATTACTCACTTCCATTCCGACGAGTACCCTCCACAAACTCAGCCAGAGCATCCTCCAGCGTCTGACGGAATAAATCTAATTCATGTCCCTGAGTATTGCACGACAGCACAGCCGCAGTAGAATTGATTTGAGAATCCCAAAATTCCGCACCCAGTTCTCCCCCGAAACTATCCTAGTTTGTCCAGTGCATACGAACCACAGCAAGAGAGGCCCCGAAAGCGCGTCTACCATTCACATCAATGCCTTACGTCCATGTCCAAATTCATAATAGGTATCGCTTCATCATGTCCATCCTGCATAACGCCCATTGCAATCCGAATAACATGAGCCGCCGAACCAACTTGCTAGTTCTCAATATTGCAGCATACTGAGAAAACAGCAGACTTACTGGTTGGTTTACAACAACACCAATGTCCACATCCTGTAAGTGGCATACTAGTATACCTGGAAAGCAGAATCCACCAACACAAGAGCATACATGGTGCCATTTGGTGCTGTGAACCCATCCAGCTTGCCCGGTTTTCACAGCACATCTACCCCGCCTGTTTGTCGCTGTACATGCATTTGTAAGTCACAGTGGTGACTTACCTCTCCCGTGTCTCATCACCGCTTCAATATCTTCTGCAGCGTCTTCCTAAATCGCACGCACTTCATTGGGAAGAGCGGTAAATGCAATTATATGGAACGCCAGCTACCGGCGTTACTAGTCGGCATCGGCGTTTCTGCGTGGCTGACTCCATCGGGTATAGAGGGCCATTACAAACCAAGGTTCCAAGGGAAACTTCCGCCCACAAGTCCCTGGGAGGGGGGTTTAGACTCCTGAATCGCGGGTGCGGACGGCTTGGGACGGTCTGTTTATCTTTCGTTACTGAAAAGCCGAAAACACAGCGTTAAGCATTATTGTTGGCCATCTCAGCCAAGCTGTTCTGGAGACCAACTTAATCATTTAGTTTAATCTACAGCTTCAGTGAGTCCTTGCGCTGTACGGTGTCAACATGCAGATAACAAAAAGGAAGATAATGAGCTTACGCTGGACCAAAATTTTCCCGTAGCCGTCAATGGTGATTTCCTTAAACGGATTATAGGCTGCAGACAGAATATATCAGACAGGCGGTTCCCTTTACACGCTTTCCAGAGCTGATGCTGCTGGCGAGTCTGCCTTAATCTGAAACCGCAGCCCAGACGCTACCGTTTAACTAACATGCTTAATTCCGACGCCCTATCGTTGTGCAACCCACCGGCTTGAGAGTCTAGAGAATCCACCAATTCCTCTATGGCATTTTCAACACGTTCCATAGCAAGTGGTGCCGTGTCCTTCTGTGCCGCGCATAAATACACAAGAGATTCGGCGGAAAGACCCAATGACCTTTCCAGCTGGAGTTCCAATGTACATAAGAGTCTCCAAGTACTCTCTTATAACGCTCGTCTGCAGCATCGGTTAGCCGCCAAACACAAAGCTAATTTGCCTGCTCCTGCTTACAAACGGAAAAGCTTACCCTGATCTGTCGTACTGGGTGCGTCTTCAACTCATCTTCAGTCAGCCATGGATCCTGAGGAGCAAAACGAACGGCCTGCAGGCCCTNCAAAATGTGAACTACGCCGGCGGTGCGCACAGGGAAGAGTTGAGGAAAGTGGTGAAAACCAAAAGACGAAAATTCTGGCATTCGTACAACGCTGCGTGAACATTTCTATATACTTGCGCGTCTTATATAAAGTAATGTACTTGCAGATACTATGTAAACCAGCTAATATATACGCATAGTAGCCAATGTCGCGTGGAACACACAGGAGTCGTTGTGATCATGAAAGTAAGGAATTCTTCGCCGGCCTTGGGGGAGGGTTTTCGGAACTCCATTGTCCCTGAAGTAGCGCACACGGCAAGCAGGAAATGGTTCACTTCGTTCAGTTAGGTGCGGCTCACAAGTTGGTAAGCTTCTAGCACTACGCGTTAGCGGAGACAGAAGAGGCGTTCCCACTAGAATCTCGCAAATAGGCTCACCTCCGAAGAAGAATATCTTCTCAAACATCTCCTGGGTGTTCTGTGAGATCAAACAATACATGACACCAGTTATAGCTGCAGGGGTACCTCCGAGATTTTCCCCACAAGCGTGAGCAAGCACGCTGTGTAATTTGTGTACCAACAGCGGAACACCTGAGGCCGCTTACTGATTTGCGGAAGCTATCTGGGGCCTCATAACCGTTGCTCTTTTGAACTACGGTACTTTCCTCCTGCGATAGAGCTTCCCGGTCGACTTCCGCACTTTTCGGCTGTTGATAGTCTTCGGGTTGGGATGGGTCTGGACCATATTCCGGTTCTTCTGTTTCGCCTACGCTTCTACTCTCATCTACCTCCTCACTGTGGCTTTCGGAAAAGAGCTGTTCCCTCACATCCGGAGATGGAACGGATGGCCTTTTCACGTAGTACCATCCGCGAACCAAAATCGCCAAAACAACTGCCGCCGTAATTATACACCCCCGTATTCGTCGTGATGAACGAGCAGGCCGATGGTGCACCTCCCGTAAAGGCGCATCCGGCGGTGCATCCTGTTCCCGGACGTACACGTTATCTGGCTGCTGATCTAAGGCATGTTGAGCTAGTGACTGCATTGTGAAGGGCAACCTAGCAGACCAATGACCTCCTCAGCCTTTAATTGAGCCCTACAACCACCCTTGGTTGATCTTTTCCCTTACCTGCTTCCTTCGTGTACATCAAGCCTGTCCTTGAAGCATTCACAGCGCGTCCATAACTATATAGACGACGCAACAGGTTCCGAGTGTTCAAGGTTTAGGCTGTCCTGCCTCCCGATTGCCTTCCAAAGAAGAAGAGAGTTCATNTTCCTACGTGGTAGGAACCACTCTCCCCCGTCTACGGAAGCTGATAATGTAACTTACCAAGAAGGTATTTCGTTCAGTTAAATAAGCTGTCGCTTGAGCAAAACTGCAAAGTAGAGGGAAAGAGACTCGAAATAAAACCCCACTGGCAAGAACACGGAGAAACTGTGGTCAGAACAAAATTCTAGAGAAAATAATCGAAACAGAGAACGTCTGTTTGCTAGCCGGAACGAACATTCGCTACTCTGCAGCCTAATATCAGTTAGCGTCCTCCCGCAAGTCGGTCAAGAACCGACTGCACAGTGCCCCCAAATTGCAGTGAGCGGAGCCCAGCCGGGCTCCCCCATCTGATTCCCCAATTGACTACAACAGATAAAGCCCTGCATATATGCAGTGAGCCACTAATTCATAAATTAAGAAACATAAAACCTCATTCTTAGGGAGATTAGTTCTATCAAACAAGACCGCTACCGCCGTGGATCCTTCCCTGCCGATGACCGCGGTGTCGTCTACGCCACTGCCGGCCGCAGTGCACCGAAGGCCTTTTCCATGTCCAGGATTGGTAAAAAACAATGATTTATCGATTTATATGCCGTTAGCTCTATAATAAACTCTGTTAGGCTGGACTAAGTGTGCTCGATGTATCCTTCTGGTACACGCATTGCAGCGCTGCGCACTATGACTCTCCCCCTTCCAACTGTTTTCCGTTGCTCGCTTGGAGGCAGCGAGCATACGTCTCCAAACTAGCCACGGAGCAAAGGGGGATTGCAATGAGCCCCAAATTGTGGTGGACTAAGCCGAGCTCGACACCCCCATATGATTCCCTAATAGACAGTGTAAACCGTGCTTCTCGGCCATATTCAAGGACTAAACGGAGCTGCAGTGAAGCCAAAGACATGTAGTAAGAGTTTCCCTAGCAGCTAACCTCCATCCGCTGTCTTCAGGTATCCTAAGCGTCTAGCTCAGGGCCCTGGGACCGCGTCGGTGATGCAGCCCAACTGGTGTCGAGAGTGCATCGCTGTCGCTGGCGATCAACTCCAGCCACACGTGTCACGTTTGCGCACAAGGAAGCTTCAATGAAGCTCCCTTTAGTGCATGCCTTACCCCTGCAGATACTTACTGAGCATTGTGCTTGCCTGAAGGCAGCCTACTATGTCCAAACGCATGTTCCTATGCTAACTGAAAGCAGACCATGTTACAACCCTGTTGAGATCCCTGTGTCAGGGAGTAATAAGCGTGTTAAGTTATCAGAGCTCCCAACATCATTTGCCCACTCTACAGTAAGAAGAGTTTCTTCGGCGTTCCAAAACGAATGCGGGAAGGAGGCTCAGACTCGATGAAAAGACACGCACGGAAACCTATGACCATTGGATGTACTCCGTCATCAAGTTCGTACGATGACCAACGTTTTGGGGAATCGATTCAGCCGACACCACAGGAATAGTAGAATATCAAGCAATTGAAAGAAGGTATGTCAGATGTATTTAATGGCAACGAGCGTGCCAGGAACCTGCCAACCGGCTGAACGCTACACGCTTCGCTCCGGGGTACAGATGCCCCCTGCATCTTGAAGGAAAAGTCGAGCAAACAGCGTAGAAGCATTTACTCAAAGGCAGATCTTAACCGTCAACTAGCTATTTTGGGCAAAATGCGATATTGGCGACGAACCGGGTGCTGGTGCTTGCGCGTCGAGTTCAGGCCCCTAAACTGATCACGGCGGTGCGAAAGTGTCCGNGAACCGGGTGCTGGTGCTTGCGCGTCGAGTTCAGGCCCCTAAACTGATCACGGCGGTGCGAAAGTGTCCGACGCCTCGGATCTATCAACAACCTGACTGATTGCAGGTTTCCTTGGTGTATTCATTGACTTCGCTAGCGTATTTTTGCATTTACCAATGCGTCCCGACGGCAAGCGCAAGACCGTATTCTGCACCATGCTTCACAAACTGGATTGCTCATGTATGAGGTTTGTACCTGCCGAGCTACAGCGATGTGTCAGTCATGGATTATTGAGGCCAGCCAGCCTGAATGTGGGTTTAGAGCATCTGTTACACGAAGCTCGGCAGCTCAGGACAGGCTGCTTCATTGCCGCAGCAGCCCAAGGCCGTGGTGACGTTGTGCCCAGGACGCCGGGAGACTAGTTTTGTTGAGCGCGAGAAGATGCTTTGGGTAGGTACCTCAAGTATTTTGACCATATTGTAAATCACCGAGGTCCTGGGCTATGTTGGCGGAAGACCAGCCAATAACGACTACATTACATGCATGCATCTCTTCTGTACAGCGCACCAAAATTACCTGTCGCCCTCGAAGGGTTCGTTGAGAGCCCCAGCCCTTGCATAGCCTTACGAAAGGCGCCTATTTCGTGTTGGCTCCCTGGAATTCTGTGTGGACGTGTAGTGTATCAGCCCCTGCTGTTAGGGGCTGCCCTTGATATGCGTTACTACCCCTTCTAGAATGGCATTGACAAAGAAATAACAAGTTTAATTTTTAATTAAATGTATTCGATTTAATTAATTATTTAATTAGACCGAATATATTTCAAGGTAAATTAAATTCATAAGGTAAATGGATAAATAAAACGACACAAATTGGACGCCCTTTTCGTTCGCCGCACCCTTGAGAAAATTAATATTCATCATATATATGTGTATATATATATATATATGATATTTCATCATATATATATATATATATATATATATATATATATATATATATATATGTTGGCAGGGGGGGAGGGGGGACGGGGTAGAATGTCGAATATATAGTATGGATGCTTGTTCTCTTTATCTATACACGCATAGATCTGTGCATATAAGGGTTACTCCCCTCATTATAAAGGGTCTTTTTGTGCAGAGGGGTTTAAATTCCTTACTTCTTTCGCTTATTTTATATCAATGGCCAAAATGAAAATGCCGGCTAGGCTGGAAAGTCACCGAAAGCACTCCTCTTCTTGGGGGGCTTCCTTCAATTATTATATACGTAGTGCTAATTAACCTTCTAATTTCATTACTTTTTATATTTGGTTCTGTATGCAAGGAAAAAGACGAGACGTTGCAGCAACCGACCAGCGGCCTCCGACGTCGGTCCGTTTGTTGCTATACTTCTTTCGACTGTTACTCGATGCCGCCTATATTGTCCTTTCGTTCCCTTATTTGCATTTAAATGCTTGAAAAAATAAAAAATCCAGTGAAATTCAACAAACAAAAGCAGAAAAGGACTAAGACAAACCGCGACTGCTGAACAGCTGCGGTC